TTATATTTCAACCATGATATTTTTGTTGGAAATTCACCTCACACCCTATAAAGAATTTCCTTCAATCTTGATCTCAAAATTGATGAACAAACCCACAATATGATAATGATGGTAATAACAAGTAATTATCAAGAACAACAAAAGAGAAGAAGAATAACAAACAAGAAAGAGAAGAATGAGAGAAGAAGTATATGGAGAGTATGTGTTACCCACAATTGTGAGATTTCTTATTGAACTTTCACTTGCTAACTGCAACTGTGAAATCTGTTCTGTTGTGATATAGAATACAAAGCAAGACACCCTATTTATAGTTTTAGGTTTACACTAGCCCAAAACATAAAAGGTCTAAAATATTCTAAATCAAATCCAATCATATGATATCAAATCTAATCATATGATATCAAATCTAATCATTTGATATCTAATCATATCATATCAAATTAATCATATGATATCAAATCTAATCATATGATATCAAATCTAATCATATCAAATCACAATGAATTATATTTAACACACCACCTAATTCATTGTGTGTAAACTGTCTACATTCATCATGGCCCTTAGTCTTCTGAAGGCTTCGACCTGCACTCCCTTCGTCATGATATCTGTAATCTGATTCTCAGTTCTGCAGTGTTCCAACTTCATCTTCCCTTCTGCTACCTGCTCTCGAAGATAATGGAACCTCATTTCGATATGCTTGCTTCGACCATGAGCTATTGGATTCTTCGCCAAGTCAATAGCTGACATGATGTCTATCCTCATGGTATTGGATTCAGTCATTGCTTTCATCCACTTCGAATCTTTCAATGCTTCAGCTGCATTGACTGGTTCGACATCTGCGTAGAAAGCATAATGTATCAATTCACCCTCTTCATCGACTACATCATCTGATGTAATTACACATTCTTGCAACCTTGCAGGCATGTGTCTTGTTCGTCGAGGTCTGCTTGAACCTGCTTCATCTGCAACTGGTTCCTGTCGAACTTCTATTTCGACTTCAGTGGCTGGTTCTTCACAAGAGATTCTCACTGAATCCTTCTTGGCATTCTCAGTCCAATCCCATTCTTTAAGCTCATCTATGATCACGTCCCTGCTGATCACTACTTGCTTATTCACTGGGTCGAACAGCTTGTAACCTCCTATCGAATGATATCCTATCAAGATCATCTGATTCAACTTATCATCAAGCTTCCTTCTCAACTGATCTGGCACATGTCTATGTGCTATAGATCCAAACACCTTTAAGTGACTGAGACTAGGCTTGACACCAGACCAACATTCTTCTGGTGTGATTCCTTCAAGCTTCTTCGTCGGACATCTGTTCAATATATATGTTGATGTCGAAACTGCTTCTCCCCATAATTCTTTGGGTAGATGCTTTCCATTCAACATACTTCTCACTATATTCATGATGGTTCTGTTCTTGCGTTCTGCAATCCCATTTTGCTGTGGAGTGTAGGGTGGCACCACCTCATGTACAATCCCTTCTTTTACACATAGTGTATCGAACTCTTTCGACACATACTCTCCACCACCATCAGTCCTCAGAATTTTCAGCTTTCGACCACTCTGTCTTTCGACCATGGACTTGAATCTGAAAAATACCTCAATCACATCACTTTTCTTCTTGATGAGGTAAGTCCACAACTTTCAACTGTAATCATCTATAAACGTGACAAAGTATCTATTGCCACCAATCAAATCCACCTGGATTGAACCACATACATCAGAGTATATGACTTCAAGTATTGCCTTCGACTTCCTTCCTGCATCCCTGCTGAAGCTATTCTTGTGTTGTTTCGACTGAACACACTCCTCACAGACTTCACTTGGAATGTCGATTTCTAGTAATCCTGAAACCATATTTCTTTTCTTCAGTTCTCTGATGTCATTAAAGTTGAGATGACCTAGTCGAAAATGCCATAACCACTCATCTCTGCTGGCTGCAGTTGCTAGACACTTATGCTCCATCACATTGAGTCCAATCTTGAAGGTCCTATTCTGAGACATTGGAGCCTTCAAGATTAATCTACCACCTGCGTCGAGAACTCTCATCATCTTGTCTTCGACAACTACCTTGTAGTTCTTTTCGACAAGCTGCTCTATACTGAGCAAGTTACTCTTCATGCCTGGTATGTACAACACATTGGAAATTGTTAACCTTTTGCCATCTTTCCTCATAATCAGAACATCAACAACACCTTCAGCTGCTAGAGTGTTGTCATTTGCAAACTTCACTGTGTTCTTCGACGAGGGCTTCATGTTGACAAACCAATCTTTCCTTCCAGTCATGTGTGATGAGCATCCTGAGTCAAAGTACCACTGATCTTGGAATATTTCTTCATCTTTTGTTGTAACCATTAGCAACGTTTCTTCTTCTTCTTCATGTTTCGCCAGCTTTGCATCAGTCTCTTGATTTCTCTTCCTTTCTGGACAATCACTAGCATAATGACCATACTTCTGGCAATTGAAACATTGAATGTAGCTTTTGTCTGTATTTCGATCACCACCTCTTCCTTTACCTGCAGCACCACCTCTTTGGTTGCCTTGGTTCCAAGGTTTCTTTTGATTCGACTAATTTCCTCCTTTGTTACCATTCCAGCTACCTTTGCCTTTTCTCTCTTTTTCCGTCTGTGCCTGCAAAGCCATATCTTTCGACTTTCCTACAGCTCTCTCAGCCATCCTCTGTTCATGAGACTCAAGAGTCCCTTGAAGCTCTTCCTTCGTCAACACTGACAGATCTTTCGACTCTTCTATGACAACTACCACGTGGTCGAACTTTGGAGCCAACGATCTCAAAATCTTTGAGACAACTGCTTTCGTCGTCAGCGCTTCTCCACATACTTTGATTTGATTCACCAACTTTGTAACTCTGGTGAAGAAATCTGTAATACTTTCGTTGTCTTCCATCTGAAGCAACTCATAGGTTTTTTTGTGAGTTTGTAACCTCACCTCTTTCACCTTCTCTGCGCCTCCAAACGACTTTTCAAGAATCTCCCATGCTTCTTTTACTGAATCAACATCACTAACCTTTTCAAAGTTATCAGGATCAACACACTGATGAATTATAAAGAGTGCTTTATAATCCTTCTTCTTCAATTCTATGTGTGCAGCCTTTTCCGCCTCCGTTGCGTTCTCCACCAGCGATGTTACTCCGTCCTTCACAAGATCCCAAAGATCTTGATAACAGAAAATCACCTTAACCTGCTTGCACCAATTCTCATAATTGTCTTTCTTGCGAATTGACAGGGTCGCCGGAAAGTTGCCGTTTGGATAGTTCATCGCCATCACTATCTTCCTTCCTTGAATCTCTTAACCAGGCTCTGATACCAGATGTTGAAAATTCACCTCACACCCTATGAAGAATTCCCTTCAATCTTGATCTCAAGATTGATGAACAAACCCACAATATGATAATGATGGTAATAACAAGTAATTATCAAGAACAACAAAAGAGAAGAAGAATAACAAACAAGAAAGAGAAGAATGAGAGAAGAAGTATTTGAAGAGAATGTGTTACCCACAACTGTGAGATTTCTTATTGAACTTTCACTTGCTAACTGCAACTGTGAAATTTGTTCTGTTCTGATATAGAATACAAAGCAAGACACCCTATTTATAGTTTTAGGTTTACACTAACCCAAAACATAAAAGGCCCAAAATATTCTAAATCAAATCTAATCATATGATATCAAATCTAATCATATGATATCTAATCATATCATATCAAATTAATCATATGATATCAAATCTAATCATATCAAATCACAATGAATTATATTTAACAATTTTCGATACCTTTGTTGAACTTGAACAAGATATATAGTACAAAATCATCGTCATACTTAAGATAGTTGCCCCACATGACGTACTATAGCACTAAGAAGGCAACTAATGCTACCATATTTCATAGTAAACTTCCTTTTTGAAGTCCAAAAGGTGTAGCTCATGGATCACATGTCCTAGCTTATGAGACTTAGACCATGTAGATCCCTGACTTGTTTCAGAAAAATCTTGTGTGCTATTTGTATTTACTGCATCACGAGCTAAGAACTTAGCATCACTTGGTTCATTAGGCAGTAGTGCCCCTTGTTCAACCCAAGGAAAAACTTTGCTTAAAGCTTCTTATGTTTAACGCAGATGATAGATCATATTCATATTGCTTTGCGTCATCTTTTGTATAGAACAGTTTCTCAATGCTTCATCTCTTATGACTATCTTTAATTGAAATGCTTTATTTCATTTTATCTTCCAATGAATTAGAGTAATTATCTTTAGCTGCCTCGAGGAAGGATATGAATATTTTCATTCAAATCATGGCAAACTTATCTAACCAATTTCTCTCTTATCCGATGATGCATGTCATTGATGCATACTTTGAGTCAAGAAAATGAACAGAACATTTCCAATCTTTTTTCTGAACTTTTCAATATTATTAGCAATCGATTCATCTCCTTGTTGTTTCAAGTTTAATAGATTGTTGTTCATTTTTTTAATTGAAAACTACAAATTTGTATACCTTTCCTTTCATCATTAGTTAAATTAACTAACAATTTCCTTTTCTTTTATTTTTTTGAACTCGTGTCATCCCAAAGAGATTAAGATGTATTCTCCCAAAAATGAAATGCAATTCTCAGAAATAAAATCAGACCAAAGAATTTAACACAAGCTTGTTCTTAACTTTGTCTTTCACTAATTTTTCACTTCGGATGTATACATAAAACAAACTGTGCGAAGTTCGAGTATCATTTCACTCGTACAAACAACAAAACACAGACCATAAGAGATAACAAGGAAAAAGACTAAATGTAAGAAAAAGGAATGGTGACAGTATGACATTATCCTAAGAGTAACTTATTTTCCCCGATGGGGAACGGTGATGGAAGAATTGAAAAATGGAGACAGAACAAATTGTTAGCTGTTGATTTTTACTGTGAGACTTCTTTTAGCACTACCAAAACAAAGAAAAAAACAAAAATGGGGACAAAGCCTTCCTGTCATTTTGTTCTTGTAATGACTATTTGAGTAAGTTCTACGAGGGCTTTCCTTGATTTTCTTACATCTTCATCGTCACTCTCAGGTAAGGAATCAATTGCTTCTGCTGCAAGGGTAGCATGCTTCACGGCTAGCTCCTTCGTCTTCTGTATTCCCCGGCTCTTGCCAAGATAATCCAGAGCCTGCACATGTAAATACAAATATATGTAATCGTATTACAATGTTGTATGATGTTGATTTTGTGTAACAACGTTGTAATTTGAAGGACTTATTATAAAGCTCTAGTACAAGGATAGTCATGTTACTGAACTTATAAGTGTTTATGGCACAAGTTAAAATTCAACATATATTGGAGTTGCAGATGCATACATATATATAGGTGTAGATATAATATCAGCTTAAACAAATGTTGGTATCAATGATCTTATCAAAAGAAAACTTTAAGTTGATATGTACGATCAAACTGATGGATTAACCGAAACTGCGTCCCCTTAAATGGTAGATTAACTAAATTAAACTTTCCAAAATAGTTACTGGTTTTGTGAAGTGACTTATGAATTAATTATGAAGGATACATGCAATCAAGCAAAACTTATTAGCTTACAATATTAACGTTCTCGGGGTTTTCAAAGCCCTCTTCAACTACTCTGCGCAATTGGGGGAACTCCTCCATCGCAAACAATATTGGGGCTGTAACAATTCCCTGCAATAATTTTTTTCGGAGCAGATCATAGATTAGTATAATACATAACAGAAACAACACTAGAACAGATGAAAAATAAAGGCAGCGCAAAAAGTCTGTTCAATGAAAACAACCCAAGACTGGTTTTCAAATTTCAACATAGAGATTTAGTATTAATGCAAAAACATTTTTCAAAATTCTATTAAGAAAAAGGGTCAAGAAAGAGCAGATTGTATTACACATTTATTTATATTTACAAAGAGAAGACGTTTCAACAAGTCACAGAGTTAGCAGTAATATATTTGCTTCTTTCAATTAACTTTTCTTATTTTTGATCATTTAGTAGGACTGTTTTTTTGAAGATTCCAGTCTGTAATATGACTTAACTTTGCTATAAGTTTATAGATGTGTTTAATTTCTGAATCAATTAATTACAAATTACAACAGAAGTTAGCTAATGATTTCACTTGAAGAATCCACAAGCAAAGCTACCCATTGATAATAACCATCTAAAAAGCATGCACGAAACACAAAAGTGGAGAAAAATAAAGTAGATGAAAAAATGAAGTATTATGATTTAACTGACAGGGATTCGCAAGGCTTTCATTAAAATCTTTCAAATGAAGAATTATGGTTCTGGTGGCAGGAAACATATCATGTTTTACTAGCTTGTGCACCAAGATTCACAGGGTTTCAATAAAATATTTCAAATTGTAATTGAAATCTCAATCAAGACTAGATCAAATTTAGAATCAGATTAAATTGTGAAATTACATGTTGAATGTCTGATAAAGAGCCTTTTCCGAGGGAAGCTGATGTCCCTGTGAAATCAAGCACATCATCTATCAATTGAAATGCCAGACCCTGCAAAACAGAGGAGAAAGAATTAAATTATGGTATCCAGAAACATGTTTACCACACGCAGATACTGATAGGTAGAAAGATATCAAGCGATTTGTTGCCCTGTGAAATAGACAGAACCAGAAAACAGTTCCATTTCTCCTCTGTATGAAAAATATCTATTAATATTTATTTAACATGCTATTTATAATAAAAAGCTCCACACGATAGACCTCAGGTCCACAAATTTACAAACCAGATTTTTTCCATACTCAAAAGCAAGCACTGCAACTTCAGTTGTTTGCCCAGCAAGGATGGCTATTGCCTTGCAACTGTTTGATATCAATGATGCAGTCTTGTAGTAAGTCTTTTCCATATAATAATCCATACTGGAAATATAAACAGTTGTTAGAAATGAAATGAACAATAGGTGCCCTATCACTATAATAATTCAACAAATCCTTAAAAATAAGACGGATAATTATGTGATTTTGTAATTGCAATCGAAAACCCAGGAATTTTTATAGGAAAACCTTACTCGTAGATAAATGTAGTCCTACCTTACACAACAAATCATGTAGGGTGAAGGTTAACTACCCAGTAATGCATATACATGTGACAAACAAACTTAGAAGCATACCTACACCGTTGATCAGATGTTGTAGTCATTTGCATGGTCTCCCCCGTTACAAGATGTTCTACAACTTTTGCCAACAAAGATACAACCTACATGCACAGAAACACGGTCCTTAAGCAGATGACATGTGCATAATTAGGTAGACCATCAAGGGCCTAGATATATAATACATCTTCACAGATATATTATAGGTACATATAAACATATATTACCAATTTAATGTACCTCTGTGTTCTTTAAAGAGGCCAGAGTGACACAAGCCCGGGAAAGCAAAAAATCTCCAGCCAATACTGCCAACTGCAACAAAAGTATATCAAAGAAAATATCAAGTTACACCTACCATGATATGACAGTTTGCATGTATAAAAGTAGTGAACTAGGCAAAAAAGAAAAACATGATACGCTACCTTATTTCCCATTACAAAATTTAATGAACCAATACCACGTCTGGTATCTGCATCATCCAATACATCATCATGAAGAAGGCTTGCCACCTGGGACAAAATAATACCAAAAATATTTAGTAATGTAATAATGGGAAAATTTTCTTCATAGTGTATAAAGAAGAGGTTTTAGAATTATCATTTGGCCCTTTCACTGTACGACTTGATTGATGAACCTAAAGAAAGAACTGACTAAACTAGATGTCAAGTTGTCAACCCATTATGAGATAAGAGGTACTTACTTTATCATATACCAAACTGAATTGGGATTTTAACACACCCCTCCACCCACAACAAGAAGTTTGGAATTGGAACATTAAATTTGCAGGTTTAGTCATTTACAAGTGGCCCAACAAAATGACTAGGATAGGCTCTGATACCATATTTAAATAACTTGGTATGACTCCATCCAAAACAAGCTCAAGGATGGAGGATTGTACAAGTCATAATAAGGGATACTTTGCCCATAAGCACAAAAAGAAGTGGCATGTTGATGATGGTGACTAACAGAATAAATGGTTCAGTAAATTAGTATCTCACCAGCACAAATTAAGCCTTTCATTTATCATGTATAGTATTTTGCAATTTTGTAACATTAACATAAACAGGAGTGATAAAGATCTTTCTCAGTAAGCAGGGAAACAGAGCAGCAACAAGGGTTTATCAAAAAAAATTATAACAGAATTTAAAACTCTCAAATAATTCTTAACAAAACAATTATTCTTGGCATTGTGACTGGAGATGCTGCAGAGTGACTGGAAGGTCCCGAGTTAAAGTTGTGAAATCAATTTTGTAAATGCAAAGTAAGGCTGCATATAAGAGATTCGCAATGGGTCCTACCTTTCCCAGACCCTAACATGGAGAGAGCTTTGTAGCACTGGGTTTCCTTTTTAAAGGGAAGTCTCGGCAGTTGGCAGTTGGCACAAGCACAACTGAACAGTTGGAGTTGTAGCACTGCGACTAAAATGTCACAGGTTTAAGTTGATGAATTAGCAAGGTTGCACATAAAAAATTTGTAATGGGTCCTTCCCTTCCCTAGACACCGCATAACGGACAGCTCTTTGGCACTAGAATGCCCTTATAAATGTTATTAGAGGGAAAATAAATAAATGAAACTAGAGGAGACAGCAAGTCGGCTATTGAATAGCAATGGGCCACGATACCAAAAAAAAAAAAAAAAAAACTGCAACAAGTAATTGCAATAGTCTATAGCAAAAAGTAAACAAAAATAGCTTAATTTTAGCCATTGTCAATAATACTTGTAACAATCAACAAAATCTAAGAATATAGAAAAAAGTGTGGTAGTTGGCGCACAAAACAAAACAATCAAACCTTATTCAGCTAGGTGAGGCCATTTACATTGATCAAATGAAATCATAATATTTCATCAAAAATCATGTCTATAGTCTAACCATTACCTCTTTAATTAATATGAACTTCAGAAACATTACTGTCAACAGTATAATGAAAGCATTATTTAATTAGTGAAACTTTCTAAAGGACTGACATGGATCATCTCTGTTATTTCAGCTATGCGCTGTTGTCTTGACCGTAGATCATTTCTCGTAGCACCTCCAAGTTCCATTGGAGGAGGTACTTGGGGAATTGGTAGATTTAGTGCCGTTGACATTAACAACAAAACCTGCAAAAACAACTTTTCATTAACCCAATCCCATGCATTACATAGTCAGGCAAGAAAAATCATGAATAAGGATGGGAAAACTACTAAATATGTGTATTTTATCACCTAATATCTATATGTGCACTCAAACAAATAGATGGTGTAACAGTAGGGCTATCAGTGCTAGTCGGCACAACCATGTGAGGAATTGAGGTTTGAGAATGGAATAAAGGCATCCTGATCCCAGAAATACCAGAACAGAAAATAAGTAACAGTATGTAGCTATTCTTAAAAACATTCTTATTTTTGACATAGTCTAAACTATTAATACCTTCTTATATTTATGCTTTGAGATATGTCCTCTAATTTTAGGTGTCAATTACCATAGTTCATAGGATTATACAAGCTAAGCATATTAACAAGCAAAGGCAATGAGTTGGTAATATGAATGCTTGAACCAAACTGTAGTAATTTGAATGGGAAACTTGAAAAAAAGTGGTTTTGATCAATAAAATTAACTTCCCAAACTTAAACTTGGTTGTTTAGTTCCATTTCATTTATAGTGATAAATATGCAAAAGCAAAAATTTCTACAAAACATACAAACAAGATCTGCATATCACTGAGAATATTCTTACTGTGGGACGAAATCTTTTCCCTTCCACACCCATTTTGAAGAAGTACTCAGCAGCGGAGGCAAGCTTAGGAACCTGTCGCATAATACCCAATTTTCACGATAAATGCCTGATTTCTATGTAGCAGATGATGCAATACTAGTATTCCTTCCGTGCATATATTAGAAACTAGAAAGTTATCAAGGATCAGTCTTATACCTCAGCTACTACCATTTCTCGCAGCTTGTTACCAATATGTGATAGTTCATCAGCTACCAGTGAAAATGGATCAAGTTCATCCTGAGAGTATGGGTATTATAAAGAAGTTGGTAAGAATAAATATTGAATGATGATGAGAATATGCTAACTCAATTATTGATATTTCATCAAATCTATCACCACAAGTAAAAAGAAAGGAGTTAAGTTTTATGGTTAACTTCAATATATAAAAGATGTAGATTGAAATCGTTATAACATTCTTACATTTCTCTCTTTTGGAATTAATATAAGCACTTGTATATACACCACATACATGCACAAATGATTAAGATAAGTTTTTTGCATTGTTAACAAGAGATTCTACTATTCTAGAGTTTATTCCGCATCAAATACAAAAATCACTTTTCAAACATGTTGAAATGGGGATTTGGGCCAGTGTACATAAGAAAGAGCACAAAGGAATTGACCTCAATTAGGGAACTGCTTTGATGATGAATTTGATATCTACTACTATATAACGCTGGTATGCCCTTTGAAAAAAATAAACTTCTCACAACCTGCACCACACAAGAATTATGAACAAGTAAAATCCAGTGTAACAGCATTCTTCGATGAAAGAAGATTATTCATTGGAAAAAAAAAAGACTACATAACTAAAGAATAGAAGGAGGATAATAAATAATCTTCTGACAAACTAATAGGAAAACAAACGAACAAAATAAGAAGAACAAAATAAGAAAAACACAACAACAACAACAACAACAACAACAACAACAACAACAACCAAGTTATCCTACTAAGTGGGGTCGGCTATATGGATCAACTTTCGTCATAATGTTTTATTCAGGATCATGCTTCTATCCAAATCATTAATCTTGAGATCTTTCTTAATAACTTCTCATAGTTTTTCTAGATTTTCCTCTACTTCTAGTTCTTTGACTTCCCTCCATCTGATCTACTCTCCTTACTACAGAATCTACAGGTTTTCCTCTACATAACCAAATCACCTAAGTCTATTTTCCACCATCTTTTCTACTATAGGTGTTAGCCCAACACTCTCTCTAATATTGTCATTTTTAATCTTATTCTGTCTAGTCTTACGATACATCCAATGCAACATCCTCATCTCTGCTACATTTACTTTATTCCCGTGTTGATTCTTAACCTCCCAACATTCTGTCTAGTACAACATCACAGATATTACTGTAGTCTATAAAACTTACCCTTCAACTCGAGTGATACACAAACACATTAAATCTAAATCTACCTAAGAGACTTGTAAAAGAAACCATTTGGCAATAATAAATTGTCAAACAATAGTACAAGTTAAGAACAGTGTCTTTTCCCATAAGGTGGGAGCTACTACCTGGCTCAACCATTTCCATTTGAATTATAATATTCAATTTGAATGCAATTGCAAACATAGATGCTAGTAGTAGTTTTCCAAATTAAACTTATTGATCATAAAAGTACTTGTATGTGTTTGCAACTTTCACAATCACAAATCACCAAAACAGGATCCTACTTCATACAAATATTGAAATCAAGCCGAAACAAGACCAATCACAAATTAAAGAGTGAAAAGGAAAATTGATACGAAAAGAGAAAACAGCTACCTGTTGAGTAGAGTCTGTACGCGAGTGAGAGAGAAGAAAGCGGTGGTTGTGCTCTCGAATAGAGAGATAGCAGCGACATCCATTGAAGGCGCCTCTGAGGTTTCTAGAAAATCGAGAAAATAGCATCGTATTTGGGTGAGAGACGAAGACTTTAGAGGCGGTGATGGAAACGTGGAATTAAGAGGACTATGGAATAGTGAAAGGAGAGAAGCAGAAAGAGAAGAAGGAGTTGCTTTGATACGAAAGCGATACTGGCATGTGTGTGATTGTGTTTAATAATAATGTAATGTAATGTTGTGACGATGGCAAAGCTGAACCATATGTTTAAAATTTTCTTGCCAAACATTTTTGCGAGTAATTAGGGTGTGAAACTCAAACCGGATTCTCATTCGTCTGCTGCTTTGCCCGACCCGACTCAAGCTTTTATTTATTTATTTTATTTACAATGGACTAGATTATACGATTTGAACTCGTTTTTATACTTTTTTTTAATAAAAGAGATCATTATTTATTTAAATTAATATAATATACCAAAATTGTTTGATTTGTTGGACAACTATTTTTTTACCATATTTGATGCCAAAACTAATTTTAGGATTGAACAAATGGCAAGGGATTTGACAAATGGCAAGGAACTTGACAAAAACATTAATTTCTTAGTTTGGTAAAGGTGACTAGGAAAAGATAAATTTCTTTTATGTTTAAAAGTGTTTGTTTAGCATGATTGTTCTTTGTCTTTCTTTTACTGAGTTTAAGTGTGACATTATAGGTTAGTTGAACTCTTATTCCTTCCAACTCCACCTGAACACTTAGGGTTTTATTACATGTAATATGTTTTGAGTTTATGTGCAAGCTTATGTGAATTTTATGTGTTGACTACGTGACTCTAAATACAAGAAGGAGATAAATTGTGTTATTTGAATTTCGAAAACACTTTATAAAAAATTTTGGTCATAAGATAAATTATATTAAATTTGATAAACAAACATAGATAAGACGACAGGAGGATAGAAAGAATACAGGGGAGAAGAGAGATATGCAACAAAAATAAAATAAAAAAAGAAAATAAAGAGGGAGAATAGATAGATAGAGTGAGTCAGATATTTTCGACATAAGCATTTGACCTACTTTTGTCCCCAAGAGTTTTCTCCTTAGAATTCTACTAAAAATCACACTTGAGCTTTTACAGAATCTGCTCACAAACCTCCATTGATAAATATTTAGAGCTTTTACACTGGCTAAGCTTAAGATCTAATAAACAGAGTTTTTACACAAGCTTAACTCAATAACTTTAAAACAAAGTTTGTATACAAGCTTAGCTCAGTAACAAACAAACATATCTTTTACATCGGCTCGACTCAAGAACCAACACAAAAGCTTTTATCAGGTTTGTCTTGCATGCTTTAAATATTCTACATAGATATTTCACAAGTGAATTACACTCTAAAAGAAAATATCTTAAGCACAACACCAATTACAAAACAACTCTCATAAGGGTTTTTTCAGTCTTTTACACTACAATAATTCTCATGAAAAAGAAATTTAAAAAACAAAGATAGTAGAATAAAAATAGAGAGGTTTCTATTCTGAATCTAGTTTGAAATGAAATAAGGAGAAACCTCTGTTATAAAAAAATGGCTTAAAAAGTGTTTTGGGCTGACCACACGGACCCTGGGCGACCACTATAAAGGAGTCTCAATCCTTCCAGAACCTTCTCAACACATGATATGTATCCTACTGAGCAATGTAGAGGATCCAAAGTTCAAGGGCATCTAATGGCTCTCCATGATCCATGCCTAATAGATAACGAGTTTTTTATTTCGTCTCTATTATATATAGAGAGTGTATCAATTTAGGTACTATATTTTAAATTCAATTTTAACTTACTTTTCTCCCTCACATTCTGACTTGAGTGTTAGAGTACTAAAACTTACAGGACAACCCCTTTTTCATCGTGTTGGAAGCACAAATCAGCCATTACATCTGATCCTCACTCCATTTATGGCTCCAAAAATGGAACAGTGGTGCCGTCTATAGGAATCGACTTTTGATTCCTGCGTTTTCCATGATTTTGTGTTTTCTCTCTGGTTCGTCAGTTTGAAACCTTCTTAGGTCATTGAACCAAGAGAACTTGAAATCAAACCTGAATATTAGTCGTGTTCGATCTAATTAAGCATCGTTTCAACAATGATTTATTGAATTTCCAGATCTCTAATTCATACGCTTCCAAGTAATAGTTGGATTCAAAGCTAACTGATTTGCCACTGTGTGAAAAGCCATTGTCACAGCTCAGGCAGGGACCATCAATTGCTTCCCCCTCCTCCTCAAGGTGTTTGAATCCAAAAGAAGAGGTTCCATTGCATTCTGATCTGACCGAAACTCCTCAAATAGCTTGATTTGTCTAATTGCCTTTGATTTGACCTCATATTCCACCTTCAGTTTCACAATATGAAGCCTTACCAAGTTTCCAATCACTGTGAGCAAACCTTGGACTGTAAAACGCTAACGTGTTGTTGAACAACATAGTTCGACATCAATATTTGCAAGCAATGTTCCCCTAAGTGGAAACATCATTTAAGAACCTGTATCAAGGAGGATTCAAACTGTCATCCCCGAGTCGACCCCGACGAAGAAGGATGAAGCTCCTAAGTTAAAGAATCAGAAGAGGAACGAGAAACATATTCCTCCCCAAAGTCCTAAGGGAGATCGAGGTAGTCATGCTCCTACCCTATTTTAAAGAGAAAATAAAAAAATAGAATAATCAACAAAAGCATCTTCTGTGCGCTCGAATCTCAGACAACAAAGCACCAACATCCACGGATATGTCACCCAAGCTAGGTGATCATAATTGAAAGGGAGATCCATATTAACATATGCAGCTCGTCAATAATCAGATAAATTATTTCAATGTCAATGAAGTCTCCAAGTGCAAGATGTTTACATTAACTCTAGTCGACAACACTAGACTTTGGTTCAATGGTCTTTCGGACGAGAGCATTGAGTTATGGGCATATTTTCGTTAACGGTTATTTGCGCATGTTATTGCCCAGAAACGGAAATATGTGATTGTAGCTGCTTTGAGGGGGATCATTTAAGGGAAGAAAGAGAGCATGTAATCTTATATATACTGATTTATGCAAGTTGTCGTAGAAGTATAAGAAACCAAAAAAGGCCTTAACTGTTGGATCTTCGAAAATGATCTTCTGCGCAACCATCCTTTCAGATTAAAAATAAGAAGGAAACAGGTACAAACCACTCAGGTGATATTAGGTATGACTTGTTCTTACATGATCTTGAAAGATAAGTTCAACATCCACTTTGATAACCTCATTTACGCTAACACCAACTCTAGTTGCACAATAGGGAATGAGTCCCACCAGCGGGAGGATGACTCCGACTAAGGCATGCAAAATCAGTATGAGAAATATACGTTGTTGAATGCATCTCGAGAGAAGATCTACCAAGACTTTACCAACACAGAATTCTAGAAAGGAGGAGTGTGACTCTCTTTACCCTATCAGAGAGTCATCTCGAACTGACAAGTTGAAGTATTTCTATTTTCATAAAGGCCACGACCATAACACTGACGAATGCATCCACCTGAAGGAATCCATTGAAGGACTAATAAAAAGAGGCAAGTTTTTTGAGTACGTGAAAAAGGGGAAAAGAGAGAAAAATAAGAATCACCCAAGGAAAAACCTCCCTCAAAGATTGTCGAGGCAGAGAACTATGGTGAAAATAAAAAGGCCAATAAAGGTAAGTGTTTGTATATTTCCCCCATCACTAGAGGATCACCCCGAGCAAACCTCCCATCCAAGGGAACCATGAAGAGAAAGATCGCAGAGATGTTAACTGTAACGTCCCTGACTATTTTCAGGATTACCAACTGAACCCACAGACCAACACGGGTCTTTTTATCATGCTTTGTCCTCAATCACATACTTTCCGAGAAACTTCCCAAAAGGTCATCTATCCAAACACTACTCCAAGCTAAACCTCATTAACTATGTAGTTCTTATTTGTTAGGCTACCGAAAAGAAGATGCATCTTGTTGGTATAGGTAGTACCAATTAGTCCTTATAAGCCTTCCTTCAATCATGCACTCTCATACCTGCACAACCTCAGGATCCCTCTCATTCTGATGTGACTTCGAAGACCAATATCCTCCCTCTTCGGCCTCGAGTGTTACATCCACTATCCGTCCTCTTCTGCCTTAGGTGTTATATGTCCACCAACTTTCACTTGGTTCGTTCCCTGAACCACATCGTACTGGGAGAGTTTTGACCCTAATACCATTTGTAATGTCTCAGACTACTTTTATAATTACCGACTGACCCCACAAACTAACACAAGTCTTTTTAGTATGCTTCTTCCTCACTCACATGCTTTTTGGGAAACTTCCCAAAAGGTCATCCATCCAAATACTACTCCAAGTTAAACCTCATTAACTATGGATTTCTTATTTGTTAGGATACCAAAAATAAGATGTATCTTATTGGTATGTATAATATCAATCAATCCTTATAAGTCTTCCTTCAACCATGCAGTCTTATTCCTGCACAACCTCAGGACCCCTCTCATTTTGATGTGAATTCGACGACCATTTTCTGCCCTCTTCGGCCTCGAGTGTTACATCCACACTCCGGCCTCAGGTGTTACATTAGCCGTCTATAAAAAGGGTGGTGGTACATTGGTGAAGACCTTTAACCAACGCATGTTAGGATTCTGGGACTCAGAGCGGGTGGGAGGCATTCCTAATGAAAATTTCCCCTTGGTGATTACATTCATAATTGTACAATTTGATATCTCCCAAATCATAGTCAACGACGACAACTTTTGTGATATCATTTATTCTAAGTTTTTAGAAAATATGGACCTTGAAAGAGGAAGCGTATGGTCGTATGAGTGCCTAGACTTACATGCATTCAACGAGACGACCATCCAGTTGGCGGGGGTACACTACTATAAAACATTTATTTCACCATGGTTGGAAATATGATATCACCACGGGTGATGGATCGTGGTAACGAAGGGAATGGTAGTAAGTATGCTACTTTCCATTGCGGGCTATTGACCATAGTGAGAAATTATATAGGGCACCATATTTCACCACAATCATGACAGCA